CTTTACGTGCTTCTCCCCCTGTTCTCTTCTGCTTCTGAGTCCTTACAAATTTCCCTGAAGAGCTCTTCCTCCATAAACCACATGCCCCCAAACCCACCGTGCTTGTGCTCCTTCTGGGGAAAAGCTTACTTGGCACACAATCTTTATAAAGATACCACATTACTTACTCAAATTCTTGACCCAGTTTCCATTTTCACTGCCTGAAACACTGAAATGCAACATGGCACAAATTCACTGAACACGGGCTAAGTGACGGTGGAACAGACTGAAGCCATGAGCTCGCTACGACAAGCAGACGGAGAAGGAAGAACTCGGGGCAGCGCGGGGCTTCGGGTCCGGCCCCAGGGGTGGGGCCTCTGATTTGCTTCCTTCCGCCCACCAGGTAGTCTTGGTCCGCGAGTTTGCTGACTCTGACCCCTCTGGTCCACGTCTCACCGTTAAAATTCTTTTTTCTTATGAAGTTCAATGTAGCTATTATTGCTACTTTACTTCGGATACTAAATCAATTCAGTTACGCTATTTATTCTGTCATTTTGAAATAGCAGTGGAAGAGAAATAATTAGGGGAATGGCATTGATCATAATATGAATTGTCAAGCTCAATTCCAGGCAGGATAACAAGCTAGATGTGATGTCAGCTATGTCCCAGGCTGCTGATCATTGACAAACTTAGCATTTGCGGAACAGTGTACAAAATAGTGACATGTATACAATGGAAAAATTGGATTAAATAAACTGTTACTAATTTGATGAAGTCAAAATAACAGATAATCATACCCCTTAGCATGTATGCGATATGCATGGGACAACAGAAAAACTCAGCAAATTACGTATACATGATTATAAAATTTGTTTCATATTTTCTATATTTAAGCTAGAAAGTCTACTGTACTCTCAAATGCTGAGAAATATTTCCTTCCTCTCTTCTGTTACAGATTTGTAAATAAATACGAGCCCAGAAGGAGTATAGATAATTCTCAAGAACACACCATTCTTTAATTTTCTCCGCCTCACTCCAATGAAGTTGAACCAGTGTTCTGACTTGCACAGTAACAGTTCTCTGCCTACTTCCTAAGTGAAGGGATATATCTCGACCAAGCTTCCTTCTGTCCCTCCAGCCAGGAGCTGCCAGCAATAATGCCCATTCACAGAACCTTCTGGTAACATCTGAGAAGCTCAACCTCTGTTTTACCTAAGGATGCCTTTTACACACAAAGGTGCGTCACCATTCCGAGAGAATTACACCAACGATCTATTACTTCCATTCAAACGTGCTCACTGGTTACGGAAACAGACTCAGCAGGAGCCAGTGCACAGCCCTCCTGACGTCCCTACCACTGCCGGGAGCTGGGTACTGTTACTGCTCAAGGCAGACACAGGGCCTGGGGAGAGGGGTGGTTAGGGGCAGACGGGAGGTGACTTTTCCCTCTGCTTTTCATGAGGGGTGGAAACAAGTGCTAGCCCGACGTCCTCAGAATCCCCCACACCTGGGACCCGAGCAGAGGCAGCGACCTCGTGGAGTGAAGGTGGGATGGCACAGCTGCAGCTGCAGGTGGGCCTGGAGAGGCCCCAGCCCCCTGCTCAGCAGCGGAGTGTGGGCAGATCTGTGCAGACATGGCGGGGGTGTCGCATGGAACACCCAGCACCTTTGTTTTACATACACTTCACAACAGAGCCCTTCTCTGCTCCTGCCAACCTGGAGGGCCCGCTCAAGGCTGGGCTCTGCCACTCGCCGCTTTATGAATTTCCTCTATGTTTTTAAAAAATAGCACTTGACAAAAATATTAGTAACTTTCACGGTGACTTATCTAGCTTTTGACTCCTGCACAGGCATATCACGGAGCCAGGAAAAGTTAGGACCGCCTAACGAAATTAAAGCCAGTGGAGTTTGATGCCCAGCACCACCAGATCCACTTGTCAGGTCCGTCAACAGCACCCTTGCCTGTGGGTCACATCAGTCCTGATGCACATTTTAAAACCAGAGGAAAGTTCTGAATTATCTCCACAAAAGAAAAATTCTCCATTTCAGAAATATATTAAAAGACACACTTTTACTGGAAATGTGAATAGTTACTTGCTTTTCCATGAGAGTCACCTTCATGATTGATATTCATTCCATGATGAGAATTCTATGGACAAATGAAGGTCAAAGCTACCTCAGACTCCCCTCAAGAGGAAAACTATTATTTTTTAAAATGTTATCAATGCACACATATGTAGACATATAAATATTTATATGGAAATTCACCGCCTAGTCAGGGAATAGAAATGAGGTGCTCGGGGAATCCTCCCTGTGTGACTGAACTTTGAATCAGCAGAGTGCTGTTTCCTTCCCCATTTCTATCCCTGCGTCTCATGGGGAAAGGTCACTATTTCATATAATACAAGCAAAAAGGGAGTTTCCCTTCACCCCCCACCTCCCACCCCCAGTTTACAGAAAGTCCTCATCAGGCTAAGTGACTTAAGGTCACATTGCTGGGTTGAACCTGAAACATAGTTTTGCTGACTCTCAATCCAGTCCTACTTCGGTGATACTGGAAGTATTGATCAGAGTCGTAATTTATGGTATGGGAACAAGACATTGTAGTGGTAAACTTAGGAGAGACTGTGAAAGTCGCCAGACCTTGGACAGAGAGCTGGCCCCAGGCTGAACTGTGGGGCTGTCTGTGCTCTCCAAGTGACCAGGAGGAGGGCACATAGTACAGGCAGAGATCCGGCCAGGAAGGCTAAAGGCCCCGGTCAGAGCTATACCATGCATGCACTTCTCAAGGCTGCCGTAGGCACTGGGCCCCCACCTTTGGTTTAAAAGAAAAAAAGTCTTAAAAAAAATGTAACCAGTAAATAGGAGCAGAGCCATAGATGGCTTAGGAAGCCATCCCTGGGTCTGGGGAGGACCCGGATGGGACTGTGTGGCAGACGACTAATGACATGGTGGGAAAGGCAGTGACGCCCGCATCCCGGGCTGCCTGGGCCCACATAGGGTCCCGTGGCCCTGCTGCTTCCCCCGGACGAGCCCCGGGGTCCGTGTTCAGGGAGGAAGCAGTGCAGCACCTGCCTGCCCCGGCCCGCGACCAGAAGAAAGCTCTGGAGGCCCTGGGCCTCAGGCCTGGGGGAGGCGCTCCAGGGGCTCCCAGAGGCACTGGGAACCCATGACCTGCCCTCGCCGGTGCTCCAGACGGACCCAGCCTGGGGGATGAGGCCCCAAAACATGAACAACAGCAGTGAAGCACTTATGTCCACCTTACACTTCAGAATTTTAAGGTCTGCCACCAGGCCACACATTCAATCTTTACAGAAAACATGAACACAGGTAGGAACTATTAATCCCTTCTAAGACCTGTGTAAACTGAAGCTCAGAGGATCGTGTATTATCTGTGGAAGGGCACACCACAGATAGCAAGGCCAGAGAATTCAAATTTCTGAACTCTTGATCAAATTCTCTTTTCCATTTTTATTGAGCAGATTCACCATAAAATGGAATAAAAAAATCAAACCAAATTACTGCAGAAATTATTTTCAAAAGGCACCACCTCAAGTTTTGAGGAAATTTTGTGTTTTTAAAGTTCACATATTTTCCTCTAAATATTTTTTCCTGATGGAAACGGAAATTCTGGACATGTTGGCAGCCTGGCCTCAATGTCTGGGTTATGCTGATGGCTATTTCGAGTGACTACAAATAAAATAAATCACTTCAAGTTGAGAATTTAAAGTTAATAGAATGGGATATATCTGGTAATTTGTTCCGTTAACATCCTAAAATCGAACAGAGGGGGAAGGAGACGCAGAAAGAGCCTCACAAAGCCTCTCCCGGTGATTCGGCTTTTGCGGGACAGTCACGGTCGTAGCAGTTACAGTGTAACCGCTTCCTGCGTCTAGAGCCACGTCTCCTGGGGAAGAAGCGAAGCTGTCAGCAGGAGTGGCAGTGGTGCTGTGGCGTCTGCCTGGGGTGTCCAGGGCGCACCTGCAGGGGCACGTCCCGCTAGGCCTTCCTTGGGCCTGATGTCATCGTTCCACTGACCAGCCTCCTCATTTTCAGCCAACAGGTAAATGAAGCTAATCAGGATTAGCTGCACTTACGAAAGGTATCAAAATACGAAGAAGTTCCATTTACGAGACTGAGAGATCCCCTCAGAAACTTACAGGGCCTAGAACCTTTTAGCTACACACTAAATTTAACTAAACCGATGGTTATAAACAAAAGTTACTCTCTTGACAGATGAGCTTAGCATGAAATATGGTTTGTCTACTTGTTGCAGGCTTGTAATAATAAACACTCATAATGCACAAAAGAGACTAAAACAGACAATTCTCAGAACTCTTAGTTACTGTTAAGGTGGTAGGTTTAATGAGGACAACAGATGTAGAAAACTGTCTTAAAAGTCCTTAAAGAATGTTTCACATGGTTTCCTGAGCCAGGTCAGACAACATTCCTTACCTGAAAATTGCACATCAAAAACATAATCTTCACAAAATTATTTAGAACTTCATGGGGAAGAATTTCCCATACATTTTATGAATGTGTATATGTTTATATGCCCAAACATATGTACACATATTTTTGTGTATGTTATGAATTAATATATGCTGGTGGACAACCATCGTTATATTATAGTTGCATTAATTTTTTTCCTAAGGTAAGCAGACAGTGCATGTAATGTCTGGATTTATCTATACTCATGAATTTGTTCCACTGAAAACAAAGCTTTTTGCTCTAAATCATCAACAGTGGTGCCCATCCAATATTGTGAACATGTCTTCCATGTGATATTTAAAATGGGTGAAGTTAAAATTTCTTACCATCCAAGCTGTGACAAAGTCCCCCATCCAGGTCCCCACTGCAGCTAATTTCATGAAACTTTCATTTCGGATGCCCATATAGTCTGTAATGATATATGCTCTGTGGAAACAAACACACAGACATTGCCCAGACTCAGAGAGCCATACAGTCAAAACTTTCTGGTTCAGCAACACGCACAGGGACTTGCGCCTTTCCACAGGCTTGCTCGCTTGGTCTTCTCATGGATTCTTACAAACCTGAAAGGCCAGGAAGAGCTCTGGGGGCATCTGGGTCAGTTCCAGTTAGATCTGAGGACTGACTGTGGCTATGCCAGTTACCATGTGTATTTAATTTTCGGGCTATAAGAGTGACAAAGCTTTTGGAAAATCGAAGAGATACTCAGCAAAGGCATCATTTCGAGCTCACTCAAGCATGAGAGCAGAAACAATTCCTTGAAATGGAAGGGAAAAGCTCACTTTCTGTCAGTTCTGTCAAGTCAGAACTATTGAAAAAGTGCTGGGATGAAACTTTAGATATAATATCATACCTGAATAATGTTCTGAATAATATCCATTATTAGAGAAAATGCCCACCCAATGAAGCAATGTAAAACTTGATTCAAGTACATGTAGTTTAAATGATTACTTCACTAACAATAACCCAAATACTTAATTTGATCACTTTTTGCATAATTCTTGTTTGCTTGGTCTAATACCAGTTTATATTTTTCACAGCTCAGAGATTTAAAAGTACAACTGATCATTAAATACAAGCAACAAGACTATGCTTACTGAGCATTTTCGTTTCCATTTTCTCATTTAATATTCAAGACAATCCTAAGTATTATTTTCCCATTGTGTAATTTCTTGGAGAACACTGGGAGATCACTCAATTTAATTGATTTAATTAATTATAAAGATCACTTAATTTGCCCAATCATTACCACGTAACTAATCAAGTTTAATATCTTAAACATGATAATACGTGTACAATTTAGAGAACTAGTTAAACTTGATTCTTCTTAGATTAACTTTAAAACAGTATAGAGTAGAGAATGATACACTTATTTATCTACTGAAATGATGAAGAAATACACATTTTAAGTCACACTTTTTAAACCATCTCCAATTAAGTTATTATTTTCTGGAGTATTTCAGATAGTTTTGTTATTCACAAAATAAACAGGTATTTAAATAGTTTTATGCAACCACAAAAGCAAACTTATGAACTCTTAAAACAACTTTTTCCACATGCTTTGCTTATCTACCTTGGAGGGTCTATATAAATACCTTAAGGTCCCACCTCAAATTTCTGGGTCTCTAATTCCATGCTTTCCATAATAATCAAAAGCTTTATAGCTACCATCAGTTGCCTACAGTGTGTCAGAAATCATTATTAGCATTTTAAATAGTGTCTCCATCAACTTTCATATCAGCACAGTGAAATGCATTTTTGTTCCTGTTTCACAGATACGGAATTGAGGCTTTAGAGAGTTTTTCCAGTTTTTTATGGTCAAGCATCTAGCAAATGGACAAGATTTAAATCTAAATTTGATCACCTCCCAAATCCAGACACGTAACCACGGCACTACACCATCTTCCTACAGGTGTTAGGGGAGTAGACAGTGAAGATCAAGATGCATCTCCCTTGAGGATAATCCGTAGTAAGCGGTCAAGAGCAGCACCCAGAAGCTGCAGCACCCGAGCTGCCACCAGGCCTCGGGCTCCTGCTGAGCTCACCGACCTAAGCAGCCTCTGCTTGAAAGGCCCAGGTCAGCTCGGACAGTCTGGCGTTAGGTCCTCCGGTGCCGCTCCTGCTGGGCGGCCGTCGGGCAGGGCCCAGCACGTCACAGCTGTCTCTCCCAGGGACTCGGTGCGCTGCGGTGCATTCGCTCTGCTCACTGCCCAGCTCTTTCAATGGCACCTGTTCTGAAGGAAGTGCTCAGTGCCACCTCCCTACCTGTCCCTTGGGCCATGCAACTCTGGAACACATTGGGCTAGAGTGGAAATCTCTGAGTACATTCCTTGTAGCTGCATGGATGTGTGTAAGAGAATGCCTCATTTTGTTGTGTCAGTATCAAAAATAGGAATGAGATGGAGAAGCTTGCAGCAGATCAATGATCCAGCCAAGAACAGCTAGAAAATCTAAGAAAAACATAAAAATTATCCCAAAAATCTGCTTAAATGCATCAGAGAACTAATGAAGCAATGAGGACTAGAAAAACCAAGGTACCAAACTGGAGAGAATGGTGGGAAGATGAGCTGTATTTTCTCGGAGGACATTTACTGATTTCAGAAAGGAAAGCAAGAGGTTGAGAATCTGAGCTTTAACCAAAGCGGGTGGGCTCAGTGGGTGGGAGAGACATCAGAGATCTAAGGAGCGGCGAGCCTGGTTTTTCTTTCACGTCATTTGCCGAATCATGAATTTGTTGAGGGGAGGCCAGGAGATGAAGCAAAAAGTCTCCGAAAGGCCTGGCAGAGATCTGCAATTTCACCATGCTGAGGAGATTACAGGGCAGAACCTGCCAGAGGGAATGGCCCAAGAAAAACCACAGACCTAGGGAAGGCTACAGGAAACTGGATGTGGACAGGTCCTTGATGAAACTAAATCAGTCCTCACCTGGGTGACGGTGATCAGCTTCTGTTCTTTCCATCTAACGGAGGAATAATGAACCTTTTTTGGAACCTCTACACACTTTTATACATAACATCCACCATTCATTCAAAATTTACTAGGGACCAAGGAAACAGGACCATATCACTGAAAACCAAGAAAGAATATCTCTAAAGGCAGCTAATAAGCTCAGGAGGATGGGGAGTTAACTTGCTATTTTTTTCACTGTGGATTACCCATCACCTAGAGCACTGCCTTTATGCAGTAAGTGATCAGTAAACATTTGCTTAACATTTAAATTAATGAAGTGATCCAAATTATTCATATTTATTTCCATATGGCACAGGTAGACCTATATGTACTGAACTCCAGAAAGAGCAGTAAAATGAGGCTGAACCATGAAGAACTTTTCCACTGAGGAAGATATTAAACATGGTTAATTGTTTTGCATGTTCACTGTATTTCCCAAAATGCCTTTGCATCTCTTGATCGCAGGACAGCTGTCCCGTGTGCAACTGGAATGACCGATCAGCACAAAGTGAAGACATGTCCCTCCTCTGAGGCTGTGGGCGTGTGGTGACTGGATGCAGTGAGAACAGTGTGGATGAGATAACACAATATATGAAACAGCTAGTGTATTTTAAAGTGAAGTATGATAACATAAAAGTAGTCATTACTTTTGCTGCTGGGGACACATCTAAAGCAGAATTATAAACATACACAACCTGTCATAAAAATTTTCAAATATTAGCTCATTGATCTGCATACCCATTAATATTTAACAATATTTCCTTTTCAGGTTATAAAGGATGGAGTGTGCATACATTTATATCAGCAATTTTTGCCAGTTTAAATATCACATTGGTCTCTAAAAAAGTGATGTTGCAGAGTTTTATAACCCGCGGCTTTGTGGAGTGATTCACAATTAAATTTTATTTGCTAGAAGGCATCATTAAAGTTTCAGTTTTATTTGTAGTTTTAGCTAATCATTCCAACTATTCATACATCTTTTGTTTGTTTTGTTTTGTGCTTTAGCTGGTGATTTCCACAATTCATTGATCTAGAAAATCTTTTCAATTCTACCAGCCTTCCAGGTATATAACAATCACTGATATTTTCTTTAAAAATTTGAAATGAATTTCTTTTCAGGCCATAACTCTAGCTTTGATCTTTTCTTCAGATTTTAAGCTTAACTGTCAAATACATAACAAATGTGTGGAAACTTCAAAATACAGGATTTTGGAAAGTTCATGATCATAACAGTCTGAAACACACACTAGCAAGACTGTCACCTAGTGAAACCTAAGCGCTAAGTGTCCATAAACTGCACAGACTGTAACATGGGCTCAATGTCAATAAAACTATAATATAATGAATAGTCTTTTACAGGTGAGAGTCTTGATCACTAACAGAAGTCCCAGTTCACTTTAGTCTATCACTTATATGTAAACAGATATAGTCAATGCCAGGTGATTTAGGAGTTGAGTCTCTAAAAGTTTAACAGGAGGCAGTAAACACAGATCACCAAACCGATATGGGCTCACGCTTCACCGAAGAGCCATCCGTGGCCAGCTGGATTGATAATGTCACAGCTGTCTCTCTCAGCCGTCTCTGGGCAACATAAACAAGATTGGGGGCTTCCTGCACAAGTCAGTCATGGCCGAGGAGTTGGCTTACATGAGTACAGATCTGGACTAAACACAGTGAAACTAAAGCAAAACCTAAGTATTCTCAGCAAGACTGAGGTGAAAATTTGTCACTCCAAAATGCCAGTAATTAAACCTAGATTAATTATATTAACCTTTCCTCAATCTTTCTGTGTTTGTAATGAAATGACTAACCACCCTTAATCTACTCACTTAGGCAACTACTATTCAAATATCCACATTTTAGCACTTTTGCTCAAAGTTCCTAGTTCTTGACTATTACAAGGTTTTGCTGGAGCTAAATTCACATGCATGGATCCTCCAGGCAAGACTGAGCATATGATGCTGTGGGGCAAGATCCACTGGAGAGTCAAAACGCTGCAGACAATTGTTAGAAGTAGCCTAGAAGAATTACAATTGCATCTGGGCCCAACAGTACCTGCAGGTCAAATTCCTCAGCATTAGCCATTCATCCCCCCTAATTTCTGTAAAGAAGAAATATGTAAGAAGATTGTAGTTTTCAGTGAGCAAGCCCCCTGGACTGTGAACACAGTCACACATCATCAACCATACATCAGCTCCTCCCCTCACGCTTTGCCTGTTCCAGCCCTCTCTGTGACGTTCGTTTTTACTAGGAACAGAACTGTTAGTGTAACATCAATTCCACCCTCTCCTTCATTCTCAATATTTGGTTAATCACTGAGGTTACATCTGAAAGGCTCTCAAATCTATGCTGTTTTACTATTGTTCATAATCCTCTCTCATCTGAATTACAGCAACAGCCCCTCGTTTCCCTGTGACTGTCTTCTCTTTATTATAGACTCTTTATTTCCACTGTGGGGACTTCTGGGGATGTGATAT